ACACACACACACACACACACACACAAGCAAGCTCCTCTTCAGCTTGTAAGCCGATAAGAGTTATAAGAATGTTGTTTACTTCTGGAATGGACGTTTCTGAGTTCCAGGATAACACACATAAAATGTACGAGTTAAAAGTAGGTGTCAATTTCAGTCGTATTTGTGTTTTTTTTAATTCCAGTTTTCCTAGTTCACGTAACTTCCAAAAATCAAGGACGCAATTTCTGCAAAACATTGATGATGATGAAGATGATGATGATGATGATGATGATGATGATGATGATGATGATGATGATGATGATGATGATGATGATGATGGTGGTGGTGATGATGATGATGATGAGTCACATTTATGTAACTGAATCTGTTGAACCTCACAAATCGCTTAATGTCAGTCATTACCAATGGGAGAATCCATAAAATAAAAGTGCTCTCTCTCTCTCTCTCTCTCTCTCTCTCTCTCTCTCTCTCTCTCTCTCGCTCGTTCTCTCTCTCACACTCACTCACTCACTTCACTTTTTAAGCAATACTTTACTGATCTCTTTTCAGACAAAGACCTTGTGACAGACAGTTTCAGCGTGTTGCTCAGGGGCATACAGAAACTTTTCGACCGGGCCGTTAATGGGTCAATCAGAAGCCAGTACCTGTAAGTTCTAGATTATAAATAATTGTAACCATTATACGCCTTCCCCGACACAATTTAGATCATTCAGTTGGTTGTTATTTAGCCATAGCCCATTGGTATCAGGGCTCTACCTGATAATACATTCTAACTTTCCTGACTCTAATGATAACATAAGGGTCATACAATAATAAATGATTCCTCTAAAAATTTTATTTCTAAAGCATAATGCAATTTTGCATTATTGTTGTTGCTTCTGTGTCAATAGTGTGCACTTTCACAGTCTCTTAATCCTTCTCTCTCTCTCTCTTTCTCTCTCTCTCTCTCTCTCTCTCTCTCTCTCTCTCTCTCTCTCTTTCATTTCTCTTACACACACACACATACAGTCACACATATATACACACACATCCACACTTGTACACACACTTACACACACACCCTCTCATACTCTCTCGCTCGCTTCATGGTTTTATGGTGTGTTTATGTGTACAAATATCTATCTATCTATCTGTCTGTCTGTCTGTCTGACTGTCTGTCTATCTGACTGTCTGTCTGTCTGTCTATTTTTTGCGGGAGTATTTAGATAAATTTAAAAAAGAACACGAAAACATAATTTGAAGAAGGCACCAATTGCTTCTTCATCAATTCGCATAATACTTTGTCAGATGTACACAAATGTTCACAATATTTTCATCAGAGTAATCTCTTTCTGACTTTCTAATTTCTTCCAGGTGGGTGAGAAATATGGTGCACCCAGCTTCCGAACATCTCCGTTCCATGATCACATTTTGCATCAAGACCAACGAGGAACTGGAGAAACACTTTCGAGGGGTTGCCACCAAACAGGAACAGCTGCTGGCCAACTCAAGGGAGAAAGCAGAGATCCTTAAGGTAATTGTTTGTTACGTTCTTGTTTTCTTGTTTTGGGTTGGGTTGTTGTTGTTGTTGTTGGGTTTTTTTGGGGGGGGGGGGGTTAATTGTTTGTTTACTTGTTGGATATATTTTTGGGAGCTTTTTTGGGGTAGAGGTTCGTTTCACACCCCCAAATTTTTATTCCAACTGTTTAAAATAAGTTAAAATTGTCTTGAGTGCAGACGTTAGGGCAATTTGCATATTGGCCCCACAATGAAGTAGACCATGGATGTGCGTAGTACACGACGTAAGCTACGGACCTTTTCTTTAATGATAATTATTTCTAATGTTTGTTGGGTTTTTTTCTTCAGAGGGATATGGATGAACGGTTGGAAGTCCTGAAGAGTCAAATTGGTGAATTCCTCAACTTGGAGATTACTTCTGTCGAACATTATTTGCCAGAATTCAACGATTTGAAGCAGCTCTGTTCGGAGCCCCACTTCTTCGTCAAAAGGTATTTTTTTATGGTTTGGAAAATGTATCCACGTTCCATTTTTGTCTTATTGGATTAATGTGTTATGTGTTGACGATCTATGATTTGTTCCGTCATGTCACAAAGAGCGCTTGCCAACTATCAAAATGAACAAAATACGTCCTCACATGAAGCAGGGAAAAACAGAATTTTAAAATATTACCTTCAGTAATTGAACCATGGACATTCCTTCCCCTTACATCAACCCATGAATCTGAACATTTATTTTCAGTTCTATAATATTGAAAACCATCTTCTTTACTTTGATTCTAATTTTTTTCCTTGTTGTTGTTGTTTTTGGGGGGTTCGGTTTTGCCTTGTGTGTGTGTGTGTGTGTGTGTGTGTGTGTGTGTGTGTGTGTGTGTGTGTGTGTGTGTGTGTATGTGTGTGTGTATGTGTGTTTGTGGGGTTTTTTACTTTTAAATTTTGAGCACTGTTTTCACTCTTTCACAGAGAGAACCGACGTATGCTGGACGACAAAATCCTGATTAATCTTCTGAGATACGTTGATGGATTGGTGATGTCTGAGAATCTGTTGTCAGAAGTGGAAACCCATGTCTTGGAGGCTGTAAGTTACCTTTCCTTCTTTGTCTTGCCTTATAAAAATAATACTTTACCGAAAAATGTTAAATATTTGTTTTGAAATACTTTAAGAAAAAATTTGTAGAACATTGTTATTATTGTTTATTATGTTATTATTATTATAATCATTATTATTATCATTATTATCTTTATTACTATTATTGTTATTATATTATCATCATTGCTATTTTTGTTATTATCATTATCATCTTTATTGTTATTATTATTATTATTATTATTATTATTATTATTATTATTATTATTATTACTATTTATTGTGTTATTATTACTATTAATTACTAGTAGTATTGTCATCATTATTATTATCATATGTCATTATTGTTATTATTGATATGATATGCACTTTCCGTTCTCTACATATTATATTATTGTTCTGTAACAGTCGCTATCTTTTGTGTACAAACATTGACGAACAAGAGAATAGAAGATGAAAAGATGAAAAAAAATAGACAGAACTTGAGCTCGCTGCCACATTTTCCTGTTATGGCTGAATTTTTCGTTACTGCAGATTCAAAGTCACTTGGGACTGTACAAAAACCAGATCCGTGGTATCAAGAGGGCCCTTACCAGGGGGGAAGGGATTCGCGCCGATTCGATGAAAGACTTTGGAGTTTCTGTAGACTCTACCACATCTAACAGATCGTCGAATTCAGGCCAGGACATTGACGAGATGGACAGTAAGTGACATCTATCTTCTCTGCTTGAAGCTTGTACTTACTTTCCAGAAACCTTAGAATGTTTACGAATGTTAGATGATCTGTGAGGTAGGGATGGATTGTGGTCAGTCAATTAGTGTTCAACTTTCTCTTCATTAATTTATGGTATAAAAATTAATGCGCTGAAAGAAATTAAATCAGTTGGGTTATGGTTGTTTGTTTGTTGTTGTAGTTTCATTTTTATATTTCTTTGAAATAAATACAGAGGACTCAGTACTAATGATAAAAACAGAAACTTGCATCCGGACCTTATTATAATACCATTGCCTTAACCCTTTAAACGTGGTCTCCATAAACCTAGACAAGAAGAACATCTGCCTTACTACACACACCAATAGCTCTCGAAACTATGAGTAGAGTGCTGGTCTTTTGAACCAGTCTTTGAAACAACAACAAATCTATGGAATTTGTCATAGAATTCAGCAAACATACTCGATCTAGCTAGATCTATACTGATTACGTTGGTTTCTGATGAACAGCATATATGTATATGTAGGCCTAGATGTACAGAGAGAGAGAGAAAGAGAGATAGATAGATAGATAGATAGATAGATAGATAGATAGATAGATAGATATATAGATAGATAGATAGATAGATAGATAAATAGATGGGCGATAGACAGATAGATAGACAGACAGACAGACAGACAGACAGACAGACAGACAGACAGATAGATAGATAGATAGATAAGTCAATCAAGGCACTATAATTGTAACTGTTGTCATTCAACAGACCATCCAGACGGAGGGATAAAATCTCGTACTTCTAAGTTGGCTTTAGCTCTCCAATCATAACCGTCAAACAGTTTGCAGGTTAAACGCTGTTTGATTATGCTGTTACTAGCAGTGAGCCAAGTCCTCTAAAGTTATGGTGGGTTTTCTCAATTTGTCCCCAGCTATGATGCACTTTGACCCTGCTCGTTTGGCATCTGACGTGAAACTGTTTCTGGAAAAGAAGAAAACAAGTGGTGCTGCTGTCGGAAGCCCCCGCTATGACAAACAATCTGTTCGCCAACCTCTGTTCAGTAAGTGTGTCCTTTTATAACATAAAAACTCCATTCTTTTCAGTACTGTGTGATCTCATCTTTAGTTGCTAAGAAGTATTAGAAAACTACTCTGGTTTAGTGTACTTGAAGCAAATTACTACCTTGCTACCTGTTCAGCATTCACTGTTGAATAACAAGACAGTTTTTCGGTGTAATTTACTTAATAACCATTGACTTTTGAAGAAAATGGTGTGCAGAAGTATCTTCCTACAAATATACCAGTCCATTGGGTTGTGGTTATCTGGCACATTTCCGTGTTGCACATTTGCACCTTCTGTGAGAAAGAGAAGTTTTTTGCATTGTTTTTTATCTTACTGTGAATGAAGTTTTGTCAAAGGTATTTCAAACCTCTGTTCCGTTACATCACAGGTGTATTCAAGGACAAGCTTTTACACAAAAATGCAGACCCTTTAACGTTCCTGAAAAAACGGAGCAAAAAAATTGCGGACAGAATCAGACAAGATGACGCAATTATGACGAGTATTGTTTTTGGATACAGCGATTGGATCAGGAGTAAGTAGAACATTTTTTTCTGTTTGTTTTTTTTAATAAACATTGAAATTGTCTCTTTAGTTGGTAGAAAAGTCTTTTATCCTGATGCATTTCTTTTTCTTCGTTTAGTTGCCTATTTGGTGGGAAGCGTATTCTTTCAGTAACTTTGTATTTATCAACGTTCCTTACGATTTACTAAACATAATGTGTCAAGAATATCTTCATCCAGAACCGCTTTCATAATGTCTGTCGAGTCGGTGCTACAGTTTAAGGTCATTAATTTTGTTAATGCAGCTTTAAAAAGAAAGTTGATTTTATGCCCATTGAATATTTTCCAGAAAATTTCTCGTGTCTTTCCAAAATTATAAACATTTTTCAAGGTTCAACCTTTGTGGCCCATATTAGAAACTGTTTTCTGCTTTACGTTGGTCTGTAACATCCATACAGAATTAAATATGTTTTCAAAAGGACATTATAGGTGTTGATCCCCCCCCCCCTCCCCCAACAAACAAAAAATGACAAAAATTGCCCAACGCCCAGAAAAATGCTGGTGTCTTTGATTTCTTTGTTTTGACGAGCACCTGATCTCACCACGTTGTGCACATTTTCCTATCATCACTAGGTCTGTGCCCATTCTCCTTCTGACTGTTTCCAGATTCCCTAATTATTTTTATTGTTGTGCCCAATTCCCTATTTTTCCTTTCTAACTGTTTTCGTCGAAATTCCAGAATATGTGGAGAGAGCGGTGGAAAGCATCCCCATGTTCATAGCTGTCAATATGAATCTCATGGACCAGATCCGAGAACATCGACTTCTCTTTCAGAGAGACAAAGAGCTGCTCAAGGAAGTGATGGACAAACTTGAGCCATTCAGAAACCATCTCAAAGGTAGGCAAATTGAAAGATCGCTCCAGCTATACCGCATTCTGTTTTTGCCGAGGGTTTTTCTTGTTTTTATTTTAAATGACAATTCATCTTCTTGCATGGTCAGCTTTCATTGTTTCAAAAAAATTTCTAAAATTGTTTCTCTGTCTTTACGGGACGCTCGGTAATATGTCCCCTTGTCCCCAAAACCTAAAGCCCTCCTTTCGGCTCTGGTTGGATGAATGACTCCACAGTTTATTTCGACCATTGAACTATGAATGTGATGCATCGTCCAAAAACCCAGACGTCTGTGCATACGTCTGACACTTCTTGGGCACCACGCCAGTTGAATGCTGCAGACGAGAAGATTTCTTTGAGTTTCTTGCTTTGGGAAAATGCTAAATATGTGTCTTCCAAAAAATTGAAGGGGCACTGGTCAATCGAAAAGATGTTTTAGAGACCGTGCTTGAACAGCAACAAAATTCTGTAAAGAAAGTGACGGATGCTTCATTTTAGAAGTAAAATAATCTTATTTCCTCAAAAGTTTTTATTAATAGTCAGACCTATTGGATTTGAATGCCCTACCGTTGACAGCCTTCTAGATTTTAGCCTTGGGTTTAGAAGAAGGAAAAGAAGAAAAATAAAAAAGATGTGGATTAGGAAACGCAGGAGCAGGAATACATTACAGCAGCAGTTACAACAGCAGCAAAATTAAAAGCTAAGGTAGCATGCTAGCAGCTGGACTCACGGGACAGAAAAAATTCCTCATTTGTCCCGTCGGTTACCAAAACTAAATACGTCCCAGAATTTGAAAAAGGTACTTTTTTTTTATGACTGCATTTAATATGATTCTTAATATGTCTTTTAAATGTTCTGATCATTTAAAGTTGAAATGAATTAATTGATATTGAGTTACGGTGTTTTCATTGTAAGAAAGTATAGTCCAAAGGTCATGTCAGTTACCGTGGAATAGCGAGGCAGCAAAGTACTAAGAAAGCGTGGCAACAAATTATAATGTGTCTTTCTTTTGGCCAGGTTACGGCTCTCTCTATATGAGCGATGTCAATGCTGAATCTCTGGCCTTCACCATTGACCGACGCACTAGCTCCGTCACCTTGCCAGACTCCATTGGAGTCACAAGAAACCCACACAATGACTCTGGCTTTAGAGGCAGCGGCAGCAGCAAAAAGAGAGTGAAAAGTGAGTATATTTTGTTTTCTCTCTCTAGCATTAGTCGTACTGGGTGGAGCGATGTTCTCTTGGCTCGACTGCGGAGAAGCTATTGCTTTGATCTTATTTCTTTGCACTATGACCACCACGGCGGAGCCAACAAATTTTTTTTTGCGAGCCTAAGGACCAAATGGTGTTTATAAAAAAAATTGTGACAATACTGAAACCCTGACCCTAACCCTAACCTTGTTACGTTAAAAACAAGCATTGTTTGGGTCTGTCAGATCCCTCTCTGCACAAACTAGGTTTAACCCAGTAGAAAAATGCTATGACAGTATACTTCCAAAATTCTCATGATTATAATTGGCTCCACCGCGTTGTCTGCAAGGCGACATCTCCTCCGGGATGCTCAAGTTTCCAAAGTTTCTGACCATCTTGCAGTCTAGGAGTGGGTTCTTCGTATGAAGCTTCACACTCTTTTTCTGGGTCACATAATTTATACAGCTAATATGTTTTCTTATTATTGTTGGATTTTTTCTGCTATGATGGTGTATTCTTTGTTTGACTGTCAAAACACTTGCATTTTTTCCGTATGTTTGTTTTTGTTAAATATGTTTTGCTGTGGCTTTTGTTGGTATATTTTGTTGTCGTTGTTGTTTATCTGTTAAAAAGTATTATTTCTTTTTGCTTTAAAAAAGTCTATTTCAACATTGTTTTATTTACTGTTTGTTTTGTTGTTGTTGATTGGGAGAATGATAGGGAAGGGGTGGGGAGGGGGGTCGAAATGAGAGATCTAGGTCGATTTTATCTCTGTATGTTGACGTTTGAGCGCCTATAAAATGGCACCATGCACTAAATGCTGCTCCTGAATCTGAGAACATTATGGAACGTTTTAGACTCTGTCTGGGCTCTTATAAAATTAATATAATGTGTGTGAAGCCTAATGGTTCTCTACGTAAAATGAGGCCATAATTGAATTGAATTTTTTTTTTCATTCTATCAACATTATACCATCATTGCTGATGTAATTTTGTTGATCATCTGTCATCACAACTTCCTCGGTGCTTAGAAACTGAACTTGAATAGGAGATCTAGTAAAGGTAATTTTTCGATAATAATAATCCAGCAATTTGACCTAAAAATGCTGAAATTATGCTTAACAATCAAATTTATTATTCTAAAATTTCCAACCCCAGCCGTCGGAGAAAGTAAGTAAAAGCTGTACTTTCCCCATAATATTATACGTTCATATTGTGAACCCTTCCCGACTATGTTGCTGTATAGACCAATATTTTTGATTAGTTAGTATTGTACTTAACCCATTTCTTCATCTGCATCTTGTCTTCACTCTGTCGTAGGCATATCAGTTAAATTGCAGTCACTGAAATGGATTCCTTCCTGTGAGAATAGTATTTGCTCAGGTCGATCATTTATTCCTTGTTCTTCCATACAGGCCTTCACACTTGCATGCTAATAAAAAGTGTTTAAAGCGCAAGAAGTCGCGACAAATAAGATTTCTGGTGGAAATCAAACTCCCTGTAGAAGATAGAGACACTGTCAGTTAACCATTGTCACGACTTGTTTTGCTTTGATTTCGCTGCCTCAGAATTACAAAGTTCTATCTGCTCAGTACCCAGTTTTGAGAAATTTGACTTCTCAAGAATTTGCGATTCACATCTTTTCGAGCTTTTTTAATGCTATTCTTAGAATATCTTGAGAATGACTTCAAATAATCGTATGATTCTGACAGAGTAGATAAAACATTTAGTTTCTGATCTCATAGTCTATATAACTCAAAAAGGGTCAGATAGAACTTTGTAATTCTAAGTTATTGATTTATTCTGGTCTAAAATGGCATCGCTTTGGTCTGATCAACTGCTACTAACATGCAACAGTTGTTTTAATACAGTTATTTTTACAATGTATCTCGGTAAGTTCCAGGGCACTGTAAATGCAAATGGTTACGGTGGAAGAAGGGATGGGAAGGATTTTTTTTCTTTATATTGGGGGGGGGTGAGTGGGTAATCGTTTCCCTCTTTCTTTATGTTAAATGAAAAGGATCAATGATTTAGTTTTCATTTCGCGACTTTGCACTTTAAGCTTCCATTCCCTAAATACAGAAGAAGAAGACGAAAAGGAAGAAGAAGAAGAAGAAGAAGAAGAAGAAGAAGAAGAAGAAGAAGAAGAAGAGGAAGAGGAAGAGGAGGTGGAAGAGGAAGAAGTGACTCCATTAGCCTGGAACTTGAAAACAAATGTTTCATCTGCGCTTTGATAACCAACGCCTAGTTAACAACAGAAAAAGTTTCGCTGTAAGAAGATTTTGGAAAAATCAGAAGCAGGGTTACTAGAGTGCTCGAAAGCTTGACTAACTTAATATTGCCAATAAAATGGTTGCTGTGCTTCTGAATCACAACTGTCAGCAGAGTGCTCAATACGAGACGAATGTCCATATTGATGAGCCAAACATTTTGTTTTTAATTATGTATTATTCGTGATCCTTGATTCTGCCAAACGTAAAATGGAACGACGCGGCATAATGCAGGAGTATGTCTACAGAAATTATAAGCTATAAAGTTTGCCATAATTTTTCCAATATTGATGAAATGATTGTGATGTTAGGAAATGACATGATGTTCCAGAATAATATACAACACAGAAGGGCGGTCTCAGATAATTCAAAAGTGGGTTTGTTTAACACTTCGCCCCCAGGGGACGCCGAACGGCGACGGTTTGTACCCGCAACTCACTTTTCCACTCGAGACACCGATCGGCGAAATGGCAACAAAAACGTTGTAGTAGTAATGATCTCCTTATATTTATATGCACATTTGTTAAAGCTATAATTTCCTTTCCGAGTAGTCTATGTGATCTTTGGGGGCAAAAATAAACCCAGTGTGTTTGCAATTGGAGTGAATCTTTTTTTTTTTTTTTTACTTAAATGTCGAGTAGACCTAGCTTGAGTGCTGCTTTACACTATGATGAGGATTCGGGTAATGAATGTGCCAGCTCTTATGCTTGCAGTTTCGATTTCAAAAGGTGAACATGTGTTCATCACGTTTAATGTTCTCAATACCCTGAAAATGTCTTAATAATTAGAATATATTGCCGAGATACAGGTTCAGTACTGATGTAGGCCTACCGCATCTGCATCCTGGTACGTGGGGACAACGTTTTTTGCGTTCTGCGCGCTGGGTGGGTGGACAGTGTTAAAGCACATTGAACCTAACCGTGTCTTCATGCTTGCAAAGGATTTGAGTTCTAATACCACTTGAAGAAGACATTGTTTGCGTGGCATCGTAGTTAAATCAGACGGGAACCCCAAATCCCCCCCCCCCAACCACCCCTTTTTTCCCCACCCTCTTCAGAACGTTGTATAACTGTGACGTGATGTATACCTTATGCCCATGCCGCACAGTTGTGTAAGGCTGGAAGTTATACAAATCTCCAAGAAATACTGTGTGTGTTTATTTGTGTATGTTTGTGTGTGTGTGTGGGTGTTTGTTTGTGTGTGTGTGTGTGTGTGTGTGTGTGTGTGTGTGCGTGTGCGTGCGTGTTTGTGTCTGAAAGGAAACAATCAATGATAAGTGACCTATTTAAACTTAATGCTAATAAAACTAAAAGCATTGTCATGAATTCCCCAAAGCATGCCACACCACCCCAGCATCTTCCCCCAAGCAATACCAATGTCGTTTTTAAGAGTTATGGAAGAGAGTCGCTTTCTGATTGCTTCTTAGTCTGACTTTAATTTTTTTTTCAGCCTAACCCCATGCAGACATGCTTCAGAGATTGAATAAGATAGACCCTATAGTTGTTGTTTTTTTATATTCGTATTTACTCGTCTGCTTTTATGTTTAATGTTAAGAATTTCCCACTCAACAAAGGGAAGTTATTAGAACGCATGCTTACTTATAGCTGCGTTCCAATAAGTAGCTTCTCGTTTATATAGTCATTTCAATGTTTAAAAAAATAACACTCAGTTTTTATTACCATTTTTTTTCAAATATATCTCTTGGCTACATAGACCCAAAAAATGTTAGAACCAGCACTGTGATTGACTTAAGTAAACTTTTCTATTTTTGCACTCAGTTTAGTTTTTAGTTTATACTTAACGCCGTTTTCTACATAGATTTGTTAATTTTGGGGAAACACTCAGTTACAACGCCTGAGCGTGTATTAAGGAGTAAGACATTTGAGAGCTCACATCAATAATGAACATGAAAATCTTATATCAGACTTCTGTAGGATTGAACCCCCTGCCACTTGATTTCTGTGTAATTGTGTTAATCACTACGTCACTTGACCCTAACACATTACCGACGTCATCAGTCTTTGGAAAAGTTGGTCATTGCAAGAAGTGAAGTGTAATTGAAATTGCAGCCACGCAATGAGCCCGTGAATTAAGGAATTGAAACTGACCTCTCGATATTCAGCTCTGCTCGTATACCGAGGTAGGCCTACTCCGGCTCGACCAACCGGTCTTTCAAGGGGGGGGGGGGGGGGTTAAGGCCGAGGGCAATATAAAAAAAATCTTTGTGCCAATAAAAAGTGTATCTTCTGCCTAAGCAAACGGTCAGAGAGTTACGAGTCGATAAATTGTGTGATCAATTCACTCGATCGATTACTTTTTGTTGTGTTTGCTCCCTATGGAAGATCTAACGGGTAATTAATATCAACGAATACTCACTTTCTACGAAAAGAAAAGTAAACACAAATAAGAATACATATTATTTTAGTAAAATGAAAAGAAAACGACTTCAAAAAAATTGTGCAAATCACCGGTCGTCATTTTTACACTTTTTAGCTAGGAAAAGGTAAAGAAAAGTAGTCGACAGAGTAATTGAATTTAAGAAGTTACGGTTGCTACATAATCCCAAAAATGTTCGTGCACTAAAACTGAAACCAGTCGCTTACCCATGAAATTCTGTCAATGTCTCTATCTAGGCTTCTGGGCTCGCCTACAGCTGGCTAATCTGTCAGTTGACGATCAACCGCTTCCAGTTGTTGTCAAGACCTACACCCATGAGATGGGAGACAGGACCGTGCTGTCGGAGATAGCGGCACTCAGGTGGGTTTTAATTACGCCTAATGTATGGCTTTTCCTTTAACCCCTTCGCTGCCAGGACCAACGCAGTCTTGAACTATTTCGTAGGGTTACAGAGCAAGTCTGACAGTGAAAGGGTTAAACATTAAAAAGTACGCCCATCATAACCTTGGTGGACAAGACAAGAACAGAAAAGTATATTTAGCTAGGGATTATATAGCAGTGAGTTTTACAAAACTACTAAAAGGGTTTATTATGATTAAATTTATACCCGTAAAAGGATGAACAAATGCACTGGAAAACGATTTTAAAGTTATGAAATAGTCATCCATACGTCTAATCTACTGAAGATCATGCTTGTAAAAATAGAATTATATACTTTCTTTTCTGGAGATATAATGTTGTTGGTAAAAAATACGCCAGCATCAATACCAATTAACGAAGCTGAGTGGCATATTATGTTTAAAAGCAAAAGATATCACTTTAGACCCTGCTTCTTAACCATCCTCGCTGTTAGAATTTATATATATATATATATATATATATATATATATATATATATAATGTATATATATAATATTATATATTATATATATTATATATATACGTATATATACATATATATATATATAAATATATATAATTTATTTATTTTTTTTATATATATACATATATATATATATAATAATATGTGTGTGTGTGTGTGTAAATACAAACCATACAAAAAAAAATCGATCAGTGTCCATTTCATTCCCTTCAGTGTCACATTTTATCTTGATTTTATCTCTCAACGTCAGGTGTTTGGACCATGAGACGATTGCACCGTTCTTCGGTATGACCAGGCTGAAAATCGCGAACGTTGTCCCTGGTGACGAGCAGGACAATGACGACGCCGAGGTTCCAAGAGTCAGCGCCTTCCTTTTCAAAGGTTTCCTGGTCTCTGCTCGGCTCTACAATCGGGACAACATAGACTCGATCCAAGAATGGACCCCTCGTATGATTACGTCCCTTCTTCAAGGACTTTACTTCATTCATAGAGAGGGGATGGTTCATATGGAGCTCAACTTGGACACTGTCATGGTACGTGTGTGTTCCATGTGGTTCTTTGATGTCATTGTCATCAGAATCATCGTTGTCATCATCATCATCATCATCATCATCATCATCATCATCATCATCATCATCATCATCATCATCACCATCATTTATGTGTGTGCATGTGTGTGTGTATGCCCATATGTGTGTGCGTGTGTTTGTGTGTGTATGTGTATATGTGTGTGTGTAAGTGGATGGTTGGAGGGCGCTTGTGATAAAATCTCATAATTTCTGTCGTCTTTCTTTTGGCAGTACTGAAGAATAATTTTTGCAGGCATTGCTCCTCTCTAGCTCTGGCAAGTGCAATAGTCACAATTGTGAGGCATCGTGGTGAAAGCAGGCACTCGTCAAAAAAATGAAATCAAAGAACTGGCATATTTCTGGCCGTTGAGCAATCTTAATGTTGCTCAACACTTTCTATATTCATTTAAAAACATATTTCTGTGTAGATTTTACTGAATGAAAAACCTTGATTAAAAGCACAAAAGTACTCATTTTTTTCACCCAACGCAAGATAAATTAACAGTGTTTGAAATTATACCAATATCCCCATACGCCCAAAAATGAACAAGCGCCTGATTTTCCACCACGTCATGACACAATTGTTTTAATATTTCTAGGTCGACAAATACAACGGAAATGTGAAACTCTGCCATATCTGCAAGCCTCGGGCTGCGGTACTTCCTGAGAATCGCCACAATGTTCCGACTCACCAGTGTGTGTGCCTGTCCCCTCCCGTTCTGGATGGTCACAGCTACGAGTCCACCGATGACATTTACGCCTTTGGCCTTCTGCTGTGGGAAATCCTCTTCCCTCAAAGCCCGCTGCCTTTCCACGAGGAACGACAGTGGCCCCTGGAGACGTTCATCGAGAAATGCCACCCGTCTGCCATGCTGGCAGATGATCTGGACGCCCTCCCCGCCTCGACAGAAGTCCAAACTGTGCTGAGAGGGACTCTGTTAGTGAGCAGAGGATCGTCCGCCATGTCCATAAGCGCCATACAAAGGTTAATGGATGGCTATTTTTATCCTTTACGAAATGCGCCTACTTCTAACGAGGATGATGATAGTGACGGAAATTTAGAAGAGAAAATGGCGAGATTAGTGTCAAGGAGGTCACTATCGTAATTAAAGGGGGAAAAAATACCTCCGGCGATAGAACAATCTCCCTTATCGCTCATTAGGAATGTATGAATTTATCGTTCTCAGAATTGTTAAAAGGGTAAAACAATAACAAAAAAACTAGAGGCGAATGACTTTACACTATTATTTAAAGAAGAAAAAATATTTCACAGAAAAAAAGAAAAGCCAGTTCAACCGCAAAAAGAAGAACTTGTACAACCATACATTAACTATATACAAAAACATATTAGTACTTACTGACACACTATAACTAAGAATTTTAACAAACGAAAGCTTGATCTTGAAAGCTTACTTAAAGCTTTGCATTGCGATCGCAGTAGCTATTGAAGCAAACTGCAGGAAAAAGTCACCTTGTTTTGCTGCATTTGCACATCTACTAAAACAATGGCACTTGGCCCTGTACCCATCTCCCCCACCTTCTTCCAATACAATCCCCCACCCCTCTTTCCCTGCTTTATGTGATAATTGAGGCTCAGGGCACTCAGAGTAAAATATAATTAATCATTATAATTTCTGTCTCATCTGTCTGGCTTTGCGCTGTGGCCTAAATACTGTCATTGTCTACTGGAATCCGTTGCGGTTCTTTAAAGAAAATGACTCAATAACTAATGCTTTGCAGGTTTTATTCATGTTACCGAATGTTTGGCCTTTATCCAAGTCTCATACTGATTATACCGTTAAGCTAACTCAAAAACATATCGACCTCACGATGCGCACATGGCTTCCCTGTACTGTCTGTCGAACATGTATAAGACAATCTCTTGTACAAACTGCCACTTCACATTTCTTGACTTGCAGTTTTTTTGTGTACTCTATAATGGCACTCTATAAGACGACCACCTGTCTATTACGGCTACTTTTCTCCTCGACAATTGGTGTCCATCGTGGACAATTTCGTCTACATAATACATGTATATATACATCATACTATTAAAATCTTTTAATACACCGGAAAGGGTGGGGGACGGAGGGATTGCTGTGAATGGGTGGGCGTGAAAGTGAGTGGCAAACATTGACAGAAGGTACTTTTAATGCGGCATGACATCGGAATTGTAAAAGGTTTCAGTTTCTTTAAAAGAGATTATAGGGCATTAAGCGTTGATTTTCCCGAAACCAGCCTAACTGATGCACGCTACACCCCACACATTACTTCGATTCCGGCTTATGTAAATATCATTAACATAACTCACCCTGACGTAAAAGTTTACAAGATTTGCTGCCACTGGACCGACGGTCTAGATAACAGTAAACCTTTAAATGATTTTTCCCCTAGCTCTGTGTAACTCACTGATGGGCTTTTTCTTTTCGCATTAGGCTGCAAGGGATAGATGTTCATCTTATTAATATGTTTGATACAGTTAATTTAAAGTATGACTGATTACGATCTACACAACTATGTGAAAGGAAAATTCCGCGCTTCTCTTTTTGTAAAAAAAAAAAATGAGCCCCGAACCTTCATTGATGATATTCTCCTCACAGGTATACACTTTTTTCTTCTATTTTTGGTTTGTTGTTGCTTAAATTGTGATGAACGAGTATTAACCCTATCCACTCACGCTCACACACGCACACACACACACACACACACACACACACACACACACACACACATACACACACACACACACACACACCCCTTCTCCCGACCATTCTTTGATTTACGCCTTGTGTTCTAATGCGGTTGCCATGCTCAGTTCCCTGTGTAATCCAGTGTACCTTCAATTTTCCCCGCAATGCTTTGGCAAGGGTCTACTTGAGGTCTCGCTTAATACAATAAGGTAAAGTTGTCTTTCGCGCTTGGCGTTATAGCTATCCCCATGTTGGCCTCACAGAAAGTTTTTTTGTTCTGTTTTGTTTTGTTTTGGTAAGTGTGTTACGGCGCATATGAGCTCGCGGGACTCATAAACGTTTTTAGTTTGGTAGCAATTCATTTTGAATTTTGCCCAGGCGGCGGCAGAAGCCTACTCTCATTGATTTTGGACCACCAATGAATCAATAACGTGCACAATTTGCCCAAGGGACATCCGAGATCTTTCGCTCTTAGCACAGAGAGTGGAGACCCCGGATGTGTGTATAGGTCTGGTAAGTTCCGAATGGAGACCTCAACTAGACCGTTCCTAAAAATCCCTCAGATAATATGCATATTTGTCATCGCTTATTTATTTGTGTTCAGTAATGAAAGCTTTTTCATGTGATATGATGTCTCTTAAGTATAGTAGGGTACTTCATGCATGTTCTGTTTTTGGAATGTGTGCTTGAAGAAGTAGTGAATGTGAAGGAAGTCTGGCAACAGCAATGACAGCATGGTACTTAAAACATCGTGTCTCTTTTAGTTTATTTACAGTTTTGTGCAAGTAGTCATTACCAATGTTACAGTTTTTACAAGAATCTGAATGTGCAACGCTATCATTCCAACTGCTGATTTTAAGGTATCGAACAGTATATTACACGTAATATTGCAAAAATTTTAAAAATAACACTGTTTCCTTTGTAAAGTTCACATTCATGTTTTCGTGCTTATCTAAAGAGAACAGAACAAAATAGACGGTTAATGCGTTGGATACCATCCTTTGCATCGTGGAATCGATCACAATCTTCAGTGCAGAAAAAAAAAACAAGTGTTACAACACCAACAAAAAGTTTAAAATAATTGAAGTAAAGAATATCATGGCTAGGTCAAATCTGAAAACAAGTGCAGCGTTTTCCATGCTTGATAAGAATGCCAGCTTTTGATATGTGCAGATATTTAGGGAAAGGAACAACTAAAAATCAATGATCTAAAAAGTATCTGTTTGTCATTGTTGTTGATGTTGCTGTTGTTGATGTCATACTATTATTTGTTATTGCCGTTGTTGTTGATGATCGTGGCGGTGATGGTGCTGTAGATGTTGTTATTGAGGTTGCCTTCAATCCACTTGCTTTTCTGTGTTTTTTGCTATTTGGCCTAAATGTTCTCTGAATAAGGCAGAGTTTCCGATAAGTTCTTCCTCTTTGCTGTATAATATTCTGTCCAAGTTGACGATGGTAAGAAAAATGTATTGCCTAAGTTCCTTGGAGCGAGTAATAATGCGCATATCTGTTTATCTATATTGTAAAAACTGTTAAATTAGCGTACTAACCGTATTCCTCTGATGATCTAACTGTCGTTGTTGGCTGATGTTTTCTGTTTTGTCACGTTTTATCTAGTACGTTTAATTTGTATCTTTAATTGCTTTGAGCATTAATTCAAATTTTTTTAAAGTAATATGAGGACTGCGATAAACATGTAATATAATCAATTTTGAGACGATATGAAATATTGTTGCTGAAGCTTACTGCATTATGGTAACCCATGCGTCATTAATGCTTGAATGTGCACTAACATTAGTATTTTCAAAAGTTTTTGTTTGTGTACTTTTGAAAACAGTCGTTACCAATGTTATGCTTGTTGCAAGGATCATAATATGTAATATCCGCATTCCAATAGCTGTATTTGTTTTCATAGAGGGAAACAGGTTGTGTAATCAGGCTAAAACGACCTCAGTTTTATTCGATTCTAACCGTAATACCTTATCTTCTAAAAGGATTTTGATTGATGGACGGAGGTAATCGTATCGTGTGGATACACATAGAAATACAATTTCCCCAACCCCCCTCCCCCCTTCCAAATACTTACAACCCGATTTAAACAAAATTTAAGTGTCAAAGATAGAAACAGTCCTTCCATTCACTCAATCCAGCACATCTAGTGGAAAAAATGTTTCAATTGATCACATTCTTGATTTGACCTCAGTACGAAAAAAGTAGTAAGAAACAACGTTTATAATTAACATTTTTTTCACTTCACTGGTTGGTACGCAAGATGGTGGAAAAAGCAAACGGTTATTCCTTATTTTGTTCAAAGGTATTCGTTTCAACGAAACCTTTTCTCCAATTAATCTTTTGAACCCCCCTCCCCTTTTTCCCCCAAAGCAACTGTGTTCAGATATCGAGCAGATTCTTGAGATTACAAACTTTATTTCTGCCAATACTTGATGAAAAATCAGCAGATTATCACATTTTTTAAGCAAATGTATATTATTTTACAGTGTGTAATTTGATGTGTTGTAAAGAAAAACGGATGAAATTAAAAAGACATCTTTTCTTCAGCTGTGGTTATGCATGTTATTATTTTGGTGTGTTTTGTGGACATAATGAAGATTATGAATGGATACAAATTCTTTGACAGGACACCAAAACGCTATGTTGTCTCTTAGAAAGAAAAACAAAACTCTCCGGCTTTTAAGCTTCTTCTATTTCTCTATTTGATACATAAATTTCTTGCTCACAGTAGAAGGTAAATAAGATATTTCAACTCCTAGTACGGTATATTCAGTTGTGTAGAACAAAGAAAGAAATATATTAAGAATACTGGGGGGCACTTTGTTTCTACTGTGACGTGATAGAAAATATGGTAGTGGCTAAAAAGATGCGAAAACGGATGTCTATCCAGTGATGCAAGGTCCAGACAATGGACTAATGTTTTGTTTTATTCAAGGTGGCTTCCTACCTGAAGTATGTGGAGCATGGACATTGCGTAATCCCCTGAGAATCTTTACCCATCAACTGCTGCTTGTCCCAAGTTTGACAAAACCATTCTTAGTCAACCCGTGCCTTGTATTTCCCTATTATTGTGCTGCACACCTTCCTCCCAATAATATGCTGCTTCATCTTGTCTGCTTTTCTATGTTCATGTACGTCCAGGTTGTTTTGTTATTTTTCATCAGCAGGTACAGATTGTTTGTAGTTGTATCTTATTTTCACTGGGTTGTTGCTTTTTAAAGGTGTTATGACTTTTTCCAAGAGGCCAAAACGTAACAGCGTATAACCATATTCTTCTCAACTTTAGTTTGATTACGGAAACTGGTAAACAATTAACTAAATTAAGAGCATCCTTTTGAAGTTGAAAACAAAACGACATCAAAGCACAGATTTCAGCCTGCGTGTTATATGCCTAATGGAAACAAAAAGCTAGACGACTTTTCCACTGTGTCGTAATAAGGGTTGTTTTTTTAATAATTTGTATGTTTTTCCTGGTCGCCTTTTTTCTTTTTCCAGCATTTCCAAAGAAAACAAATGTTTATGGAACCTTCAAAGAGTTTCTTTTCATGTAAATAGTTGTTCCGTAAGAGCGGTTTTCTTTGTTTAGCCATGTCTTTCAATACAATGCTGTGCATTTGTCCCAACAGAAACATACAGATACTGTTCTGTGATTCTCAGAACGCCTTTTCACAAGGACTCATCTAAAAATTCAACCTCGTGTCCTTTTGTTTGGTCAATAGCAATACTTGTAGTGCGACATTTGGGATCTTTTTAGAATCAGCTCCGAAGTTCGTCTTAATCTTTTGAACAAGTTAGAGGATGAGTATGAGAATAGCATTACTCAAGCCTCAAAACGATTGGATAAAATGCGATTTTACAAAGTTACGGTCCTTTGTGTCAGAGCTGTTCGCAAACTGAGTGAAGCTATTTAATTGCTATGGCATTTTACTGCTACTGGTGTGGTGGTGGTCTAAATATCTGAAAATATTCATTGGGTTGTTTTGTCATGGGGTGATTATTAGAGTTGGTTATATGTGTGCTGCTGATAATGCTGACGGTCACCTGACAATATGAATGGTAAAAACGGCCGTGTTGCTGTTGTTGTTGTTGTTGATGATGATGATGATGATGATGATGAGAGGAGGAGGAGGAGGAGGAGGAAGAAGAAGAAAAAGAATGTTGCCATTATATTCTTTGGATAAAATTTCCCCTAACTGTATCAAAATACAACTTGGCTGATGGACGTGCAAACTGCAAAACAGTCAGAACTGATTTTTTTACTGAAGCAAATAATCAAGGAGTGCATTTCCTGGAACACCATTTCGATCATTAGTGCGCGCGCAATCACACACAAATATTCTTCTGTAATATAAATCTGTTCCTTGTGGCTTTATTGTTACCGTTATTGGGGG